CCGAGGTGTTTTTTGTTTTTTGGTGTCAGGGATCAAACTCAGGACCTTATGCTTGCAAGGCAGGCGCAGTGCTGCTGAGCTAAATTCCCCGGCTCCAGACTCTGAGGTTTTAAACATGACTTCAGTACTGGTGATCTGAACTTTTGATTTTTAGACTACAGAAGCAATTTGGACTCAAGTCTATCAAATCAAAGGAGTGATTAGTGGTGCTCAGGGGAGGTGGCAGAGGTAATAACATTGATTCAACAGGAAGTTAAATACTATTTCTAAAAGTAAAGTTTTCTTTCATGTTCAAATAAGTCTGAGAAATGCTGAATTAAACAAGGCTAAGCAGGTCTCATTATTGTGGGATTTCTCAGACTATTTAGCTAAAATGTTAATGTGACTTTCAAATATCATATGCATAATTTCCAAAAACATAGCTGACTTTGGAAATTCTTTTTTCTCGGAACATCTTGAAGGACTAGTATTCCATGGATTGTTTGGGGAAACACTCCTTTAGGTAGTAGAGTAAATCAAGAAGAAAAACCTTGAAAAAACTGTCTTAGAATATAGAATTCAAATGGTATAGTATAAATAAATAAAATCAAAAATACAAACTGGATAAGTAATTTGTTTTTGTTTTGTTTGTTTGTTTGTTTTTGTTTTTTAGGTACTGAGGATCGAACTCGGGACCTTGCGCTTGTGAGGCAGGTGCCAGAACCACTGAGCTAAATCCCCGGCCCCAAAACTAGGTAAGTAATTTAAAACCCAAAATTTTATTAGAACTGAAAAATGCTAAGAGCCAGTAGAACATAAATAGATAGAAATTTCAAGTTGCCTCTCAATTTCTGAGCAATAAAAACTTAGACTGGTTCAAGAAAGAATATTTAAATTTTTTTTTTCTTTTCCTTTAGGCCAAGGACCTGGCTATGGGCCATATGTGTCCACTTGGCTTAATTTTAGGAGGAGGGCTTATAAAGATGCTTTAGTATTACTACTTCTCAAATATGTCCACAGAATAACATTAGTAGCTGAAAAGCAATGCTAATTCCTAATTGGTGGTTTCTTATAATCAATAAAATATATAGTTTGTATTTTAAAAGTATATTTTGTTCCTTTATGGGACTCAATACTTGAATTACTTTGAAAAATAAATGCTGGCTGCATGCATTTTTAATTTTCCTTAGCTTACATTCAGGTCAAAGAGGTTATTATTGCTAATGTCTATCTCTTCTTCTGAACAAAAACCTACATTAATAAATGGAAGCTCTTGAGAGTTTTGGGGAATAACTGGAAGTGACCATTTCTCTAATCTGTGCTGGCCTGTCTTACTGAGAAGACTCTGCCCAGGCTGGACCATTGGACTTGCCTTCCCTAGCTTAGAGGGACCCGATGTTTCCCACAGTATGGCTGACAGATGTCAGGTCCATAATTCACGACGATGTGGGAGAACTCTCTACACACATCTTCTCGTCAGAGACGTCAGAAATACTGTACCATTTCCTTCAGTTCCATAACTAACTCCTCACTGCTCTAGGAGGAGTAAAATCTCAAATCCTGAGACAGGTGCGGTGGTGCATGCCTGTAATTACACCACTTGGGAGGCTGAGGCAGGGGGCTGAGGGAGTGTGGCCATCTTAGTTCAGCAGAGTTAGAAGATTCTTCTAGGGAGGAAAACTGTCAGAGTAAAAACAAAAATTACAATGCTGGCAGGACCTCAGATTTGAGTGGGAGAGTGACTGGATGAAGCTGTGGCATTGTAATGAATGGTTCATCTACCTTATGAGGTGCCAGGCATGGTGGCACATGCCTGTAATCCCAGCACTCAGGAAGCTGAGGCAGGAGGATCGCTGTGAGTTCAAGACCAACCTGAACTGCATAGCAAGAACCTATCTCAAAAAAACAAAACAAAACAAATCTTAGCTTATGAGTGAGGCAGCTAGGGGAAAGGCCTAAGACAGAGTTGACTGATGAGCTGTATCGATGGGAACTGAAATAAGAACAGAAAATGAACTAGGACTTTGGACTAAGGATAAACTTCCTCAGGCAACATGGACTGCACCCCCTCCTTACTAAAGAGAGGTGCAGTCACTCCCTACTAAGTTCCTCAGTTTTGAGGAATTAAAAGGTAAAACAATAATTTTTTTTCACTAAAATCCCAGTTTTCTTTATACCCTACACATTGAAGAACTGGGTTAGAGAGTGCAAGTTCCAACTGGTCATTTTAAATCCACAAAGCCACCTGTGACAGGCTGCCACTAAACAAATGAGCAATTCCTGCACTCTCCTTATCTATAATTAGCTCTGGATTGAGGGGCTGTGCGGCCACCCACTCAGGACCACTCTTGGAAATCCAGGAGCTGTTCTTAACTCTTCCTATTTCCACTTAAGACTTCAAACCGCCTCCTTTGGTTTGAGACTTCATCCCTCGATGTGAGACCAGGAGCTTGGCACAAACAGAAACAGTATTATTTGGGGTCCTGCACATCAAGCTAAGGTTTGGTTTTATTTTATTATTCAGTGTTTCCCAAACTGGAATAAAGTTCAGACCTCTTTTAAGGAAAATTCTCTCAAATCCCTGATGTTGACTTATTTACATATAATATTAATTACATATGCACATTCATAAAACAATGTACAAAGTCTTTATGCTTATAGCACTATAAAATAAATTTACAGATTATATGCATTCAAGACTATAAAATCAGAGCCAGGGATTTAGCTCAGTGGTTCTGCCACCTGTCTCACAAGCACAAGGTCCTGAGTTCGATCCCCAGTACCAAAAAACACACACACAGAAAGACTATAAAATCAACATAACAGTAATTTATTGTGAATTTTTTTTTTTTTACTAAAATGAGACAATTGCTGTCAATCTTCTCTTTCTTCCGTAACAAGCAGCTAGTTTTTGAACACCTAGTTTTTGTTTTAGCCAATCTGATAGTGCATGTTAATGTAATAGTACTTAAAAATTTTTTAAAGTGTGGGCCAGGGATTTAGCTCAGTGGTACCGTCTTCCTCGAAAGCACTAGGTCCTGAGTTCGAGCCCTGGTACCAAAAACAAAAGTGCTGGGTGAGGTGGTCCAGGCCTGTAATCTCAGGAGGCTGAGAGAGGAAGGAGGATCACTGTAAGTTCAAGGCCAGCCTGGACTACATAGTGAGTTTAACACCAGCCCAGACTATGGAGATGCTGTCTCAAAAAGCTAAAAAAAAAATTTTTTTTAAAGTTTTTTATTTCATACTGACTACCTATCCTTCCTGCTCATGTATTATGGTAACAATGAAGCAACAGGGGAAATCGTTGCTACAAAGATGGGAAGTATGTAGTACTTCCCTTTATAATATAAATACATGGTATGACTCACAACATGACTATACAACTGTGTACTTGCTTAAAAGGCATCTTTTCTATTGAAAATACTGTGCGCCCTTGGCTGTATAACATGCTGTCATTTGGTTCTCATTTAGCATGGTCTATGTTAAAAATTTTTCTTTCTTAATCTGCCTGTGGCTATTAAAGCAGCACATTATTCTTTCACAGTATATCATTTCCATGATGTCAAAAAAAAGACTCAATTTATTAACTCACAGAAGACAATGAAAATGCCTTTCATCGCAAAGTTGATCTGCAAGTGGACCTTTGTACTTCTAACTGGCAGAAGCGCCTGACACGAGTGCCACAGCAGATGTGCAGAGGTTGCTACCATTTGACATCAGGTCCTAACGAGCTGGGTAGAGGAAGGTGTAGGAGGCTGCGCAGTATAGCGCTCTTCTGTCACGTGTGGACCATCACCCATGTGGTTCTACATTCGGGAACCTAAGTGTTACCTTGACTCTAATCCATCAACAAGTTTTGATTTTACTCTTCAATTTCTCTTAAGTCCATCTACTTCTTTTCCACCACTGTCCTAGTCTATGCCTCCATCGTCTCTTTCTTGAAAGACAATAGTTACTCCTAGCTGAACTCTTCTCTCCCTTACTAGCCATTTCTCCTTTCTTCTCCAGTCTGCCAAGCCTCGGTACAGTTTTCAAAATGTAAGTTTCACTGCCCAGTCCTTTCCCTAGTCCCCTTTTTTTTTTTGTACCAGGGATCAAACTCAGGACCTTGTGCCTACAAGGCAGGTGATGGAACCACTGAGCTAAATCCCCAGCCCTCTCTAGTCACCTTTTAAGTGGCTGCTTTTGCTTTTACTTCAACAGGGCTGTCATGGGGTCTACAGTGTCTTGGGAAACGCCCCCTCCTCCTACCACCACCTGGCCTCTCCTCTGCCCACCTGCACTCTTCACTTTGCTAACTCCTACTATCCTTCAGATGGAGCACATTCCTTTCTTTTCTATAACCATCATTATCACTTAAATTTAATTAATGTTTATTTGGGACTCTCAGTTCCATAAGGGCAGGAAATGTCTGTTTTGGCTGCATTGAATCTCCATCAAAGATTAAATGAATGAGTATCTTTAGTACATTACTGTATTTTAAAATACATACAAGTTTGTACTGCAACACAGATTCTCTAGCTCTTTGCCTGGAGGTGGGGACTACACATTACCACCCCCACCCCCAACACTGCACAACACAGACACATTTCAAGAAGGTCCTATTTTGTTATCATGTATTATTTGCTGAATCTCATTTCCCCACAGATTTGTAAGGTTTTCTTGGTTACAGATCAAATTTACATATATGCACGAGTCTATTTCCATGTCTATCGATGGAGATTACTGTGTCTGCTACTTCAGCTTTATGATGTTACTGTCTTCACACTAGCTAACTAGCTTGTCTGAAGATAGACAAGTCACTTTTGCCCTCTTTTTTAATCTCTCAAATGCATAATCATAATATCCACATACAAGGTTGTTTAAAGGAAACAAGCCTGGTATGTAAAGCCCCAGACAGAAGCCGGTCAGGGTGGCGCACGTGCGCCTGACTATCTCAACACTCCGGGAGCTGAGGCAGGAAGATCACCCTGAGTTTCAGGCCACCCTGGGCTATACATAGTAGTGAGCTCAAGGCCAGCCTGAACTATACAGTGAGACCTTGTCTCAAACAAGCAAACAAACATACAGCCCCAAATAGAGAATAAGAGTAACCCTTCTAATGACGTTGAAGGAACAGATAAAACCGCAAAATAAAGCGACTGATCCTCCTGGGAACCCAATTCCACTTTTAAAAAGGAAACGATGAGTTAGCATAGATTTCTAAGACTCCTGGCACTTTTAAAACTGCGTTCCTGGCATTTCATTATCTAGAAATCAGGCAGCTCATTATATGCTGGGCAGTTGGGATAAACATGAGAAAGGTGGTTATCTATGCAGAACGCAAGAGCAAGCGAATGTAAAATGCCAGGGGCCACACAGACAAGGTTTGGGGCTGGATGGCTGTGCTTTCGACTCTTCCGCGGACAGAAGCAGGCTGGGATGACCTTCACGATATTTTCTGGCACGTGAACTGCCTCAAGGGTTGCGAGGCCCTGCCTACGAACAACGAGCCGCCTGTAACCGCATGGCCACCTGCCACCCTCCCGGCTGCCCACTGGGGCACACGACCGCAGAGAAGACTCCAGACCCGATAGCAGAGACACTAGAAGGACGCGACAGAGCCGGGAGCACGGTGAGCAACCGGGAAGCCCGAACCCCCTCCCGGGAGCCGCCGGGGCTTCTGGGAAATGTAGTCCTGGGCTGCGCTCGGGGCCCAGGAACGCTGCGCGCAGGACTACGACTCCCTTCGGCCTGGCGCGAGCTGAGCACAGCACGCCTGCGCCGTGCGGCGGCCGATGCCGCTATAAAGGCTTGTTTTGCTCGGATCCTGATGCTCGGTAGCGTGGTTGAGTGGTCGGCTCTCCTGTCTGGGATCTGGGGCACAGGTAGGTGACGGCTCCGACCTTACCTCTACCGTATCGCCCGGTTGTCATTGGTCTCCTTTGCGTTTTTCCTCGGCGGGCTGTGTTCCGACGTCGAGCAGTTTGGGGGAAGCCGAGTCCGAGAAGCGGGGCCTGGCCTCGCTGTAGTGTCCCGCCGCCCCCTCCTCGGGTTACGACGCCTGGGGGCTCGTGGTGGGGTCCTGCGTTGGAAGGGGCACTGGTGGGCTTGGAATGAGTGGTCGGGTGCCGGCTTCATCCCCGGATGCCGCCACCAGGGGGTGCTACGTCCGCGGCCGCGGGGGTGTGGGTTGCAATCCCTGGGCCAGGCCGGAGCGGGCGGTGGGAACGCCCTAGCGCCGGGGCCACCCAGCGAGGCTGGCCTGGGAGAGACTCCTATCCTGAGCTTGTGGGTGGGAGGCCGGGAGCACCCCGAGAGCGCTCTGGTTTAGTAAACGAGTAAATGGAGGTACGCGGCATAGGCACGCACCGCAGCCCGGTGGCAGAGCCGGGAATGGAGCCCAGATCTCTTGACTGTCATCCAATGCCCTTTTCACTTGTACAACCTAGGGCTTGGGCGTTGCTTTGCATGTACCAATCACACCGGGGTCGTTGGGTTTCCGCACTGACATAGGGAGGCTAGAGGCAGATGCACGCAGGAACGATCGGGAAACTTTCAGGTTTTGAAGGAGATGGATAGGTTATAGTGGATAACGGGGGCGCGGTAAATACGTGACCTTTTAGCTTTGAAGCTTCCTTGTGCAGTTGTAGCCCAGAAGCAGAGTTCCTGAGTTGCTGGAACCCTACTCAGGAATGCAGTGTGGAGGCAACTGGGAGACACCAGTCTGGCTGGTTACAGTTGTCAGGATTCTGCGCCGCTCCCCTCCCCCATGCCACTAGTCCGTGGCGCTGTGCCGGGAGAAAGCCTACCCTTTTAGCGAGGGCAGGAGAGTCCTGATGCAAAAGGCAGCTGACTAGGGAACCTCAACCCTGTCGAATTTGAGTGTGGTCACTTATTTGGGGGTTCCCTTATTTTGATTTACTATGGTGCTTTCCTTGTACAGCTCTGTCGAGAACCTTCAACAAAAATCTTTTCTTGCCCCTCTCGCTAGCTTGGCAACTTAGCATTTGGAAGACTCTCTGTTAACTTCAAGAGGTAACACCAGAAAACGGTATACTACACTAGTATATAAAAAAAGAGAAGAGGTCTGGCGTCCTGGTCCTTAGTTGCTTGCTTTATATTGGGGGATGGGGTCTGCTGCTTTTTTCTAAACCTAACTGGCTTCCTGCCTGACATTTCCCTGAGACACAGAGGACAGTGTCCTCTGCTCTTCAAGGCCAAGAGACAGTAACTTTGTGCCTGTTCAGAGCTTGCCCACTCTCATGACTCTGCTTGTTTTTCCAGAAAATTAGAGGTGGGGGTGGTCAACATAATGGAAAGCTGTACCCATACCCCTCTCAGGTGACATAACCTGGTCCCTAAGGATAGTTTAGGATAGGTCCCCTAGGGTAGGTTGCTGAAGTCCCTGCCTTATACCAGTCAAAATAAGCACAAAATACTTATTTTTATTGTAATGGAAGTCATTTCATCCCTGCCACTCTGTGCTCATACATTCCACTGATTCTGCTTCATCCTTTAAAATAAAATGATTGAAAGAATCTGGATAGATAATTGAGGTTCTTTTTGATGTGGCACTTAGTATAATGAACAAATTACCTTGTCCTCCTCCTCCCTCGCCCTTCTGCCTATTTTTACAGTAGGACTAATTTTCCTCTTCCATATACTCAGCCAGGTGAGGGAATCTTTGGAGGGGAAGATTGGATTTCGGTGAACCCTGTAACAAGAAAGATTCCCTAAAAAAAAGAAAGGCTCCCTTATCTGCAGGCGACAGTGGAGACACTGGCCGATGCCAGGTCTGTTTATAGTTTAGCTGTAATGAGGGCTCAGTGGCCTGGTCACTGTGCTCTTGCTTAGTAAGCCCATGTTCTTTACGGTGCACTTTGTCATTGGGCAAGGTGATTTTTTTAAAGATAAAGTCGTAGCTCTATCAACTTAGAACCAGAATTAAGACAGGGAGGAAGTTGAGCTACCTTTGTACTGCTGACTTGTCTCTATGAAGGACGTTTAGTCCCTCATATTTAAAGGATTAGCAAGTATTCCTTTTTGATACTTTAAAAATGAATTGTAGTTGTCAGAATTTTGTGACGCAGGAGTTGTTTTTAGTCACAGTGATAGTGGGAATTTACGGACTCCAAAAGGGAACCCAGCTACACTTTTTTCATTTCTAGTGAGGTTGCTATGCAAGGTGTTTTTCTCAGCTTGTGTCTGGAAAGCTGCGAACTTTCTGAAAGTGGAAGAAATGTTTTAGAGTGGTATGTGGCTGGTATTTTTTATTTTATTTTTTTGAGATGGGTTCACTGTGTAGCTTGAACTCACTATATTGACCAGACTGACTTCGAATTTGTGATCCTCCTGCCTCAGCCTCCCAAGGGCTGAGATCACAGACTATGTGCTACCACACCTGGCCTTAGTTTTTTAAAAGTGGCCAGAGTTGATACAGGATATTGATTAGTTAGGCAAAAAGGGTTTAGAACAGTTTCAGGTAGAGACTAGGTAAGATTTAGCAGTAAAGGGTGGGAATTTAGTTTTTATTATTATTTAACAACCACTTTACTGAGGTAGAACTTACAAAAAGTTCCCGTTTTCTTTTTTGGCCAGGTGCACACCTGTAATCTCAGTGACTTGGGAGGCTGAAACAGGAAGTGTGCAAATTTGGGGCCAGCCTGGGCAACTTTGAGGCCCTGTCTCAAAATCAAAAGGGGTGGGTAGTAGCTCAGCAGTAAGAATGCTTACTTAGCATGTGTGAAGTCATTAGTTCAATACCCAATACAGAAAACCAACCACTCTTTTAAAGTATATAATTCAGCATTGTTGGTTCTTTTAGTACATTTATGGAATTGTGTAGCCATCACTACTATTTAATTTAGAGATATTTTAGTATCCCATGGGGAGTTTGTGTTTAAAGTTAAATTACCCTATTGTTTCATATTTTAATGTGTAACTTCGTGGAGCTTTAACGTAATACTGGCTAATCCACTAGCTAATTATAAAAATGTAGGATAGGTGTTTCATAAGTTTTCATTTAATAAAATTTGGTAGGAGTAATGATGTCCATTTTATTTTATTTTATTTTTTTCGGTACCAGGGATTGAACTCAGGTCCGCGGAACCACTGAGCTAAATCCCTGGTCCTGATGTCCATTTTAAAATTGTGGACTTTGTAATGTTTGGAATAAGCTGAAATTGCCTCTAGAGAGTTAAATTTTTTTTTTAACCTAAATACTTTGTACTTTGGATTTGAGTTTAGTTGAGGAGAGTATTGTTTTTCTGTTTTTTTTTTTCCCCCTTGGAGATAAGAGAGGGTAATTTTTCTTGATTCTATTATACTGTATTTTTTCTTTTTAAAAAATGGAATGTTCTTGAAATTTTGGGGGAAAACTATTTGTATAACTGTAATGGTAGAAAGCTTTAGTACCTTTGCACGCCCCTCCTCATTTTAAGGCACTTTATCATTAATTAAGCACAGTTTAGGAAATTCATGTTCTTGATAAATTTTTACTTTCAGAAACCGTGACGAAAACCGGGAGTCTGTGAGCCCTGGCAGCTCCAGGCAGCAAAGATGAAGGACATCGACATAGGAAAAGAGTACATCATCCCTAGCCCTGGCTACAGAAGTGTCAGGGAGAGGAGCGGGGCCTCCGGGCCGCACCGAGAGCGGGAGGAGTCCAGGTTCAAGAGAACTCGACAGGTCTGCCCCTCTGTCTCGAGTCCCTTCCCTGCTCTGCCTGTTGCACTGGGCCACACCGCCCCTCCTTTTTTTGTACAGTCTAATTTAAATATTTATTTTTCTTTATTAGCTTTATGTTACTGTTAAGAATAGCTCAGTGGTGCAGCATGTGCTTAGCACCAAGAAAGGAATTTATGGTTAATTAGGGAAGAGTCCTTGGCTCATAGTAAGCACTCAATAAATGGAAGGAGAGGGTGTATCAAAATCTCTCAGCTATTTTTTAGTGACTCCATTTTGAAGCCTTCTGAAAAGGCTTCATCTAGAAGACAACTTACAAGGGAGCAGTCTGGGTAGAGAGGAATATGAACTATTAAGTTTCATTTATGTGCTCAGACAAGATTGGTTTTATTCCTTCTCCCTGTTGTCTGTGTTTAAAATATGAATCCTTTGGAGAGACATGCTCAGATTTCAAGCAGTGATCTGCAGTTAAGTTTTTTAGGTGAATTCATGAGTGTAAACCAGTCTTTAAAATCTTTTCCTCCAATAGAAATGGTGAAGATATACTGTAAACTAGATGTTTTTTTTCCCCCTTTGAGGAAAAAGCGTTATGCATTTTCTTTTCTTTCTTTCTTCTTTTTTTTGGTACCGGGGATTGAACTCAGGACCTTGTGCTTGCAAGGCAGGCATGGTGCCACTGAGCTAAATCCCCAGCCCCACATTTTCTTGAATTGCAAAGGTAGCTATGGACAGAATAGGGGTGTCTGGGCTTAGGAAATTGAGGTTTATGTTTATGTTTTCGAAATGTGAAAACTTAAGAAAGATAGGGACTTTTCAGTTGACCGTGGGCTTTCTTAGCCTGACCAACCTGTCCCGCTTTGGTGCATTAGAACTCTTGCTTATTAATGAATATTTTCTCTGATGGATCTTTAGAATGTGTATTTAGTGTACTGTATTTAGAATGCCTTA